CGATTTGATACTTTACATTGTATTGGTGAAAACATACATTGTATTGTGATAGTATGTATTGTATCGGTAATGATAAACATTCGTTTTGATACTTTACATTATATTGGTGACAACATACATTGTGTCGTGATAGTATGTATTGTATCGGTAATGATAAACATTCGTTTTGATACTTTACATTGTATTGGTGAAAACATACATTGTATTGTGATAGTATGTATTGTATCGGTAATGATAAAAATTGCAATTTGAACTTTTACATTGTATTGGTGACAACATTCATTGTATTTGGATAGTATGTATTGTACCGGTAATGATAAACATTCGTTTTGATACTTTACATTGTATTGGCGACGACATACATTGTGTTGTGGTAGTATGTATTGTATCGGTTATGATAAACATTCGTTTTGATACTTTACATTATATTGGTGTCAACATACATTGTGTCGTGATAGTATGTATTGTATCGGTAATGATAAACATTGCGATTGATGCTTTCCATTGTATTAGTGACAACATACATTGTGTCGTGATAGTATGTATTGTATCGGTAATGATACACGTTGCGTTTTGATACTTTACATTGTATTGGTGACAACATACATTGTATTGGTGACAACATACATGGTTTTCGGTGATACTCCATACTTACTTACCACACATATAACCAATAATGACCATTTATTGATAACGTTGCTAACACCGAGATAGCGTTTATAACGGTTTAAAGGGTCAACTGAAATGTTTCCTGATAATGTCATCATTCATTTAACTCTCTCTACATGGCCCTACCTAGATAACTATATATTAGTTCTATATTTAAATGATGTGGTAAAAACTAAATGTCGTGATGATAAAAGGCAACTAAGCAATAAGCTTAATTTATGCTCATAACACCATAACAAGTTTGAAAAAATTATCTAAACTGCTATTAATTTGTGAGGGTTATTATAAGTTAGCAACATTAATATTACAATATTATGGAACAAGACACCTTAATAGTTTCTGAAAATATTGAAGGTTAGTGATTGGCTGCTGATGACGTAAATCAGGATAATGGCCCCTAATTGGTCAAGGTGACCTTAGGGTCGCGTCCCTTTGTTCATAAGGCAGCCATCTTGCGAATCGTTATCAGCAGATATAACTTGATATTTAATATGAGTGGAGAGGCATAAATGTACGTATTTTTGTTTCAAATGATATTAATATACAACATTTATGAGAAAAATGTTGTCAACAGAAAACGTCTCCTTCTATTTAGTGATTGAAATTCTAAAGTCGACCATGATTCAGCATATATGAAAATGAAGACATAACTAGACGCTGAATGCAATATCCTGCAATAATCTACAGCCGAACAATTTCACAGACACAAGCACACTAAAGAGATCAATATAAATGTCATTTGAGTCAAATCGTGTCCCAAGGTATTTCCTGCACGGACGGGGTACTCGCCATCCCGTAGTCATAAACAACCATTAATCATTGACATCGTTTTAGAATATTCTAAAAATAGTTGTTAATGGCTGCTGTCTTGCGTGCATGATAATGGCTATCTGCTTGTTTTGGAATGTGCTTTCTCGCAGAATAACATCTGCTCTATCGTTACATAGCTATATATAGTAAACCAGACTATGTAGCTCTCTTCTCTGGTTCTGGTCTTTAACATTTTGCACAATCATATTTCCTAGCATCTCTATCATCTGACATTCTACGTTGAAAGATCTTAATTTTTTCATTAGAATTGTTTTTGTTTTGTTCGACATAACACAACTGGGAAGCCGGCAATCTAAGCGGATATTAAAGGATTTTAGAAAGAAAGTAATCGTTGTGTTATCTTCAAACAGAGCATAACTTGTTTACTGACAGTGCGCCGTCAGACATTTTTGTTGGCTTAGATAGCGAGTGAAGGTTATCTTGATACTATATGATTAAAAAAACTTCATTTGCTTTGTGTCTTGTTAAAATCACCAATGTCTGTAATAAGACAATAGTGCTGTGAAATTGGACTTGGTGTTCCCTTAGATCCTTTTCTTGTCCTTTCGTATTGTTTCTACATGTAATTTTCGATTTGACCGGTGCGATAATTTGGTGGCACATTTACAATAGTTCATGTTTATAAGAAGGTGTGCTGCCTGGCCAATGTTATGTTATATTTTCAACCAGTGTTGAATTTTTGTAGTTATTTTGATTTCTTCATTGTATGTTGGAGATCATTTTTGTTTGGTAATAAAAATATGTTGAAAAAGTATGTATTTGTCCTTAATGGTGCAGTATCCAGTCTGTTCTGTGACGTAATTTGATGGTAACATTTGTCTGCGGGTAATGCTTTGGAATATTTTCCCTGTGTTTTAAATCCAATTGAATTGTCCTCTGCACAATACACTCCGTTGTTCTTGTTAGTTCCATGTCACACAGGTCATACCGTGATCTTATTTAATACAATGGGTGCTTGGAAGAGCACGTGTTGAACCGGAAGTTCAACCCGAGCTGCTTTGTACTTTTGTTATTACAAAAACATCTATTATTGAAGCCCAGCTTGAATTTTTACGTATAATTTCTTAAAAGATACATTTGGGTAATACATTTAATTATTTATATGATTTGTTTTAAAAATAATAATATATATTATAATAAAACTCTTTTGATTCAAAAGATGTCAAACTTTGCCCTTCTGCTAAAAACCATTTGCTTAATCACACATTTAGATTGACGTTTCATCTAAAACCTATTTATGTATTAGGGATTACAACTGAACAACAGAATTTCATTTATGGCATTCTTGAATAATACCATAAAATGATAAAAAATATAATGATTTAATATTTGAATCTCCGTCATTTCAGTAAACATATGCAAGTTTACAATTCAATGCATGAAGACAAAAGTCGATGGGTCATTGAATGCAAATATAATATTGACAGGTGATGCTTTGTCATCAAGATAAATATAGTTCATCCTCTATGTAGAGGCCGATGAAATCATACGTTGAGCCTACCTCTATGGCACTCGACAGCCGATTCTATACTATAGAATACCGGTCTAACCTATGGCGACCTGTCACCTGGGATCGATTATCAGTATAAACTGTCAGTAATCAGCTATATGAGTAGTGGTTTATATACAGACACAGCATACAGTCTGTTGTTCAGACACATTCGCTGTATACATACTTGTAGCCTTTCTCGGATAGACCCGTTAAGAAGCCTATTGTTGAAACAGACACGTCATAATTCTGTCGTTGAGACATACACCACCATATAGTGTGTTGGCATATACTTTGTCGTTGATATTCCGTCTTTTCGTATTGCAGAGTTCTCTTCTCTTGTGAGCAGGTATTGATTGTTACGTCATTGGTTTGTGTGAGACAATTACGTCGTTTTCTCAAGAATTTATAACGTTACTCTCACAATCAAATGACGTAACAATCAATACAAATGTTGTAAATTTGCAATCGGCAATGTGTGTGTTACGTCCATCTTTAAACGTAGAACTACATTGTAATCTGAAGGAATGTTAAAGAAATAGTTACGTTGCCTTTCTTGCACAAATCCTTTAACTTTGAAAATTTCAATGACTTTATTGCGTTAGTGCAGGATCTTGTTCTTTAGTAGAGGATACCCTATAGTCATGTGGGTATTATGTCTTCTGGATAATTCATCTCTTCCTCTCATTGTGCGCATAGATTCTGTTTCCAGCAGTTCTATTCCGTCTTTGCGTATTGCAGAGTTATCTTCTTTTGTGAGTAGGTATTGATTGTTACGTCATTGGTTTGTATGTGAAAATTACGTCGTTTTCTCAAAATTGATGACGTTACTTTCACAAACAAATGACGTAACAATCAATACCTGCTCACAAGAGCAGATAACTCTGCAAAACGCAAAGACGGAATTGTAGCACAGATATAAGTTGTAAAATATAATTCGTACACATTTTCGACAATTTAGAAGAGGCCTAGTTAACGCAATGTGATCAGACCGTGACAACATTTAATTGTCTCCTTTAGAAACGCAGAAATATCTTCTGCCAAAACTGACCTCGCCTCACTGTGAAGCGTCAGTAAATACTTCATTTCGCATAATTACCTATGATATACCATTGTTTTCAGCCACTCTCTTTCTCAAAATATTCTTGATTAGTTTACCTCTACATACTCGAGGAAGGAATACATCTACAGTATCCCACTGTTTGGTCGTTGACTGACATGAATCCTCATCCCCCGTAGATTAGGGCATTTCTCTCCTGGAGGAACCAAGCTCGAAACTTGATCTGCCTCCCCTATTGAAACATGCCAGAACTTAAGACTTTTGGCATATTTCCCTATTCCTAGATTATACAAACCCTAACGACAATGTAGTGTAAGAGTAATGTGACCGGGTTGTGCTGTGTCAGGTTACGGTGTTTAGGTAATGACATGTCAATAAATGACATTCTCCAATGCCTCTATGAAAGGCTCCGTAATCTGTGGACACACGATCCTAGCTATTAGGAATTCAGAATTCAGAATATAAAAGTTATAGGTAAATAACTGAGGTTGATTAGTACAATAAAATAATAGAGATACATGTATTGTTGCATCAAATAAATTGAGGTTTAGGGGCGAGAGAAAAGTGCTGTTGTTACATGAAAATAGGCATGCAAAATAAATGCTTAATAGTGATGAACCTAGGTATGTCAGGATTCCGATTTCTCTTTCTAAAGGCAGAATTCCGACACTCTTTTGACTTTATCCAGATAAAATGTACAAGTCATGCACGTGGGTGTATCTTTTGTAGTTCTACCCAGCACCTTGATTTAGCCATGTATATTAACGACGAGCAGTAGTCTTTCTGATTAGATATAGACATGAAGACTTAATAACAGTCAGAGGAGAAAAGGGAACAATATATAAGATCAAGAACGAAATCATGTTGTGAGTTTTGATGAACCCATGAAATTACTCCGCAGGTCAATTGTCTCCAGAAATTCATGTGTGAAACCACAATGCAATGGAAGTTGTAAAAATAGATTTATTTGATTCATAATTAAGATACCAACAAAAACAAGAAGTAACATGAAAACGTTGCTGAAGACAAAGTAACTATATGTGTAGACGTGTCTAAGAGACCATTGGTCTGATTTTGCTGTTTCCAAGTTGTCTCCTCCTGGAGAGAACTTCTAATAATAGAAAAGTAGAAAGGAATGCGATGACAGCAAAAATGGCCGTCCCGAGAGAAACAATAACAGCTATCATATACTCATTAAGAATTCTGTCGTCATCTGAAACTCCGTCATACATGAATGAATATTGTGATACAACTACCACGTGTTTTGTTGTTGTTTTCACGGTTGATGCCACTGGTGTAGTGTTGATTGAGCTAGAGTTGGACGTGCCGTTGGAATTGACTTCCGTTGTATTGCTAAGTAAGGAGACGCTTGGTTCTCCTGTTACATTTGCAGCTAATGACTGAGCGGAATGTATGGCAGCATTCGAAACAGGTTTGTTCCCAGATGTGCCTTGGATTGATTGTGAGTCTATTGATGCGTTACAAGTTGAACGTTCAAGTGGAAAGAAGCGCCCGGAAAATAGGTCCAGAATGAACACCATGAGAGGGGCGCTATCCTGTGTTTCCAGTACATACACACCGTCGGTTAGATTCCATAAGTCCCATATTTGGTATTTGCGGTCTCCAAGTACACTAGTCCGAACACACAAGACAGTAGATTTTGATTTCTCACTCGATTGTCGGATATCTAAAGCTTCCGTTGTGCTCGCGCTCATGGCAAGAATACAGGTTTTATTTTCGCAGTTTTGGACAATAGCAACATTACAACCTGACATGAGGTCTACCGGAAGTGGTAAATACTGATTCCGGTACACCTGTTGCTCGTGTGACGTTTGCTGCTGCACCCACGTCGTACAAAGCGTTTGAATTGGTTCAGCAGACGACACAACGACTTCCGGTTGACCTGTCAAGTTCACTGTCAGTGACGTATATGGTAACGTGTCGTAAACAGTGGAATTTCCGTCTTTGTAAATTGACAGATTTCCTCTCTGTGAACCTGAAAAATATATATAAAAGCATGTACGTAGCGATACAATGTTTTACCTGTACAATGGATCAGAATAAAGAAGGATATTTTCAAACAGAAATACCGATCCGCAGCTACAAACTTAAATATCAATTTAAATTTACAAACTAAGATATCAGTCTACATTTACAAACTAAGATATCAATCTACAAATACAAACTGAGATATCAAATGGTGATACCAATATACATTGACATCGTAGGGATTGCTGTTTTACTATCATTTGATTCAATTAATCTAATTTTGAATGCAGTTATTTTAAGCCGATTCCTTTTGAATTACAAATAAGCTTCGTCTTGTACTTAATGCTAACTGAGATGCAAAAGTTGGTGATCAAAAAATCAATACATCTGTTTGAGTTTCGAATCACTTCTCCTGATGCCGTGACACAGACTTCCTCTGATCAGTAATAGATAGCACATCTAAATAATTCATTTCATCAGAAACTGGTGTCCGATTTCGTCACCAAAATAACAATATCTGGCTGAATTACATAATCCAAATAACAATATACGGTCGTGTTCAGACTGACAGGTTCTGATTTTTTTTTTAAATGTTTAAGCTGAGGTTTTGGTAGATTAAGACTGATTTGAATCCGGTACCACATAATTTGCCAGACGTGTATAATTGATATTACAAAACGTTGACAATGCCATTAAAATTAGAGTGACTATGTTCTAACTGTGTGTCAGTGTAGAGTCACAGACGCTGTTTTTCCTGGAAAACACACAGGACGAAAATATTTGAATGTTTCATTATGGGATAAAATGAAACAAAATCAGGCACAATGTTTTTGTGGAAATGCCTTTGTGTTGAACAAATCTAAATTGTGAAAGTCATCAACACTGAATTTTTATAGTATAAAAAAAATGTAATCCTGATAACCTTTCAATGTTAGCGAAGAAGGTAAATCTATCAGGGACAGTTGTGTGCTTTCATATTCATATTCATTCCTGATATTTATGATGTTGAATGGAATTTATCTCAAATTGCAAATTTCCAGACACCTGTGTCAAACCCTCCAGTAGGTAAGATTACTTAGTCTCGTATTAACATAATGTTTGAATGATTCCCTGGAACACGCAAGTTTGTGTTGTCAGGTCTACTTTATTCAATATTTATCAATGCTTTTAATTGTACGTTATGTTTATGTAATCGAAATAAATAATAACAGCATCAGTCAGTCAAGGATATGATATTATAATCACGGTCTGGCTCTAAATAGTACGATTTTTGTGATAGATGTTCATTGCTGACCGACAAAGTTACAAAAGCGGGGTTAAGGCAGGAGATTGTTTAGAGCAATGTAAGTTGATCAAGACCTGATATTAAGGTCATCGTCAAGACTCGATATTAGGGTCATCATCATGACCCGGTATTAAGGTCATCATCATGACCCGATATTAAGGTCATCATTATGGCCCGATATTAAGGTCATCATCATGACCCGATATTAAGGTCATCATCATGAACCGATTTTCAAAAATGATATTGTAGTGTCTCTAATTATGATTTTATTTAACGAGGATTACATACAGTCCGGAGGCTACTATATGCTTTCCACATGAGAGTACTCCAAAACCTTTTTAAATTATCTCGTGTTGATGATAAAAATGAACGAAAAAGGTGATACCATGGTACCAGAAATTTGTCATTTGAAGAAGTCATGGTTTTAATAATATCTAGATAAAAGTTGCATACAAAGATTTTTATTGAGATGTGTCAAACATGCCTTACAGTTGACCGTTAAACATGGCCAGCTTGTTTTGCTTTTATTTGTATGCTACATTTCGGTATTCCCTTGATAGTTTTAATGACGTATCGACACAACAATTGTTAAATTATGCTTTATAATGTCTCAATCATGGATATCAAGTATTTGTACCATGGATACAATGCATTCTTTCTCGGATATCATTAAGTCAATCATGGACATTTTGAAATCAACAATGGAAATTTTGTAATGCCTAGGTGAATTTCGGATATTTCATTCCTTAATATTTAGCATGATTAATGTCTGCCTTTGTTATAAAACATATTAAACATGATATTAAATCAACCATGGCTATTATGTACTTCTTAGATGGATATCCAATGTTTCAAACACAGATATAAAGGATTTTATAGATATTTAGAATAATATAAGTCAGCCATGAATATAAAACATATCAACCATGATATTAAATGTCTTCACCACGGATAGGGATTCATTTCAGTAATTGTTACGAAATATTTCAAGGACACAAACTGCTATACATTTTAACATGGATACACTGTACAAGTAGAGCTACAATGTGTTAACACGTAGATACACGTAGAGCTACAATGTGTTAACACGTAGATATACATAGAGCTACAATGTTTTAACACGTAGATACAAGTAGAGCTACAATGTGTTAACACGTAGATACACGTAGAGCTACAATGTGTTAAGGATATACGGTATTTCAACCATTAACATCATATTGGTTGCGGCATTCACTCCAGTAATGACACTATTGAGCTGACGATGCCTATTCCTTATAGTGGTAATTAGACGATTACACTCTACCTTCTTTTGGATCTATTTTATCCTCGTCATTCACATAAAACATGTCTTTTAAGCAATTAAAGATTGAATTTTGATTACATGTGCCAGAAATATTTTTGATTACATTCAGTACGTAAATTGGCAACATCATTATTCTTTTCAAAAGATCAAGGAAATCTCACAAAATCCAATTACGATGGGTAATTTGTGTAAGAGTTCTTTTAGGATTAGCCTTTTATGCGATGTGTTTTGAAAACTAATTACGTAAATGCAATTAATAGATAAGAAGGTTTAATTAAACCATAGGAGGAACAGCCTTCAAAAAGTCAAAGCCGACTCCGCAAAACGATAGGAAATCAGTGTAGAATGTTCATTAAAATTTTGTCACTTTACAATTGATTCGGGCATTTGCGTAAAACAAAACAAAAACAGAAAAAAAACAAAAAAAAACATTAACATTATATTCAGTTTAAGAATATTAAAAATCCAAGTAATGTTGCAGTGTAAAAAGAGACGAAATGCGTTGAAAAACATTGTATTTACATCGATTGTACAGTAAAGAATACCACATCGCAATGGTCATTTAAACAGTAAAAATATCAATTAACATGACAAAGACATTACCTAACTCGGCTAACCTACCCTATTAAAACTATATATACTCATTGCATGTAGCCAATAGGTAATTACGATCTGCCTTTCTAGGAAGCATCATCACAAGCGACACAACAAGTAACATATTACCAGTTCTTTTGAAAATAGGTTGTATTTCAGGATTTTCCGATATCTAATCACTGAAGACAGTTTGTTGAAAGACACTTTGCTATTTATTCAAACGTTGTAGCGATTTTTATCAAATCAATTATAGTAGTCTGGTAACAGTCTACAGGCCATGACATAGCGGAACCTCTATCGTTTGTTTTATTAAGTACCTCTGTTTGAAATGGATATGAGTAGTGGGCATTACTGGATTATGTGGAAAACTACACATTACGCATATAAGGTTACTCTAAAGTTTTACATTGACTTGATGCTTAGCATATTAGGATAGTATTGAAAAAGTCTTTATTATAGCCATGGCTAAATGAATAGAATAAGTCAAGAGCGAGTCAATCAATAGTGCTTTTTTCTATACAGTGTAACGTTTGTAAACTATACGAAGAAAATGTACCAACAAATCACTGTTTTTCCATTACCGGTCTATAGAATAATTTCTCTCTCTCGAACCGTTACCGATCAATTGTGTGATCAATTGAATTCAGGTTAGAATAACAACCTTTAACCTCATCATGACCTTAAGTAAAAGTCATCATCATGAGAAGACAGTTACATTGTAACTATGATATCGTAGTGTCTGTGGTAATTAAAAACGTTTTCATCTGCATCTTAGATCATAGACGCTATACATATGTAGTGCATCTTAGATCATAGACGCTATACATATGTAGTGCATCTTAGATCATAGACGCTATACATATGTAGTGCATATTAGATCATAGACGCTATACATATGTAGTGCATATTAGATCATAGACGCTATACATATGTAGTGCATCTTAGATCATAGACGCTATACATATGTAGTGCATCTTAGATCATAGACGCTATACATATGTAGTGCATATTAGATCATAGACGCTATACATATGTAGTGCATATTAGATCATAGACGCTATACATATGTAGTGCATCTTAGATCATAGACGCTATACAAATGTAGTGCATATTAGATCATAGACGCTATACATATGTAGTGCATATTAGATCATAGACGCTATACATATGTAGTGCATCTTAGATCATAGACGCTATACATATGTAGTGCATCTTAGATCATAGACGCTATACATATGTAGTGCATATTAGATCATAGACGCTATACATATGTAGTGCATATTAGATCATAGACGCTATACATATGTAGTGCATATTAGATCATAGACGCTATACATATGTAGTGCATATTAGATCATAGACGCTATACATATGTAGTGCATATTAGATCATAGACGCTATACATATGTAGTGCATATTAGATCATAGACGCTATACATATGTAGTGCATATTAGATCATAGACGCTATACATATGTAGTGCATATTAGATCATAGACGCTATACATATGTAGTGCATATTAGATCATAGACGCTATACATATGTAGTGCATATTAGATCATAGACGCTATACATATGTAGTGCATATTAGATCATAGACGCTATACATATGTAGACGGAACACTAGATATGCACAGGGGATATTTATCCTACCCAGGCAACTTTTGTCCCTGTGTTTTTTTGTGTTTTTTTTTGTGTGTGTTAATTATTGAGGATTTATTTAGTTTCTTCTGTTTTAAAACCCATACATGATTATCAACTGAAAACAGTCCACATTATTCTTTAACTTAAAAAATAAATACAGAAATTAAAATAGCTATCGTAACAATAGTGGAATCGACTTCATCTCGCAATGAAATTGGAACATATTCAGTTAGAAGCAGCAATTACAGGGTTTTGCCGTCAGGATGCTGACATGATCCCTTATGGGCTATGCTTCCTGAGCGGATTATTTGGGTTTTGCAAACAAATATCAAATTCATTAACTTTAATACTGATTGAATACGAATCGCCAAAACCATCCCAATAAATAAAAAAACGTCAATTTATTTATCCAATAATAAAGATTTTTTACTTAGGAATATGTTTTGTCCTTGGTTAAGCCTTATCTCAAATAAGGTGCTATGATTAAGCTAAAACACGGTGATGTAATCAAGCTAGAGGGTTTGGAGGCGTTATCCGGATACAGTTCTGTGAGATCGAAATCAATACACATCTGTTCTGGCTACACGATCGCGTCTTCTTTCTGTCAGCCAATATAACTTAATCACACCACATAGTTTGACAGAATTTAGGAACACAACGTCTGTTTGGGTTCCTGTGGTTTGGGCGTTTTCTTTGGTTTGTTTTATTGTGTTTTCAATTAAAATATTGGCATTTTGTTTATTGGATGTGATCTTTTCTCAGTTTCACTTATTCATTCTTTCATGGAAAACGTGTTTGTGATAAAACAACGTAAAGATTTCAGCAGTAGCGTCACAGGGAATCCCGACTTACAACCTTACATAATATAATTTTAACAAGTATAATCTAGATAGCTTTTCTTAAACACACGTTTGCCATTTGAAACGGGACGAACTCATTCGTTATACAGGGGCTCATCACTGATCTAACTTACTACTGATTTTTTCTTTTCAAAATTTACTGGCGAGAATTCGATTCACATTATAAAACGTTATCGCGAATTAAGGCATTTCTGTTTAACACAGTTTCATGACAAACGACGATTCAGACTGCAATGGCATTTGCCGCTCTAATTCTCTATTTTCCTGTTATCAAAATTTAAATGTTTTGATATTGGTTGAATTCTGCGAACATTCTATTAGTAAGATGTTTAACCATTCAAAATATAGAAAGATTTCTATCAACCGGTTAATTAAGATTTCATTTTAATTAGCATGCGTTCTATTTAATAAATTGCCTTAGAGATGTTAAATAGAGGCTATTGGGGTAGAAGTGATGTTTTCATTTGATCAATATAACAGTAATTTAGTGGAATTGGATTTGCTGGTCTTTTCTTTCTGGAAGGACATTCTACTTAAATAGAGATTGTAGCGAAAAGTAATAATTTGCGCACCCTGCAAGTAATTAAAGAAGTGTTGGCGTAATTGTGTTTAAATTACTTTGCATATTTCCGAATATTTAACCAAAAATAACCCCTTAATAGAACTAAAAAGTCAATGCTATAATTCTGTTCTGAATACCAAATTAACTTCTATTTCTATTTCAACATATGCTATTGACAAAAAAGGTAAACAGGGTTGGACATCAGGCATTACGTATTAAAGTCCTGTCCCTAGAGCAACACCCATTTGTTAACATACTATTGACATATTTAAGACATTTACATTTCAGATATATAAAGGGGAAGTAATTCCTCCAAAGATATGTAAAGATAGTTTCCCTATTATTTTATTTCAGTCATTATACGTAATTTGATACTCCGTATGTGTCATATCATCAAAATGTAAGGAAACATTCAGGTTAGCTGTAGTAAGCCGAGCGTTTAAAGAAGCGCCTGGACATGTAACAAATCGGTTACTGAAGATAACTGCGAAAATAAACGTGTTCTGTTTCCCCTTAGAGTCTAAGATCTAAATAAAATTCTAATTTAAATTTTAAATTATTAAGATAAACATGTTCTGTTGTCAGTTCCTGTTTTTGTATATGGAACCATTGCATTACGATCCTTGTTTAGTGACAATGTGACACATGTTTTTACCTTAAGGTAGTGGTATGCTTGCGCCGCGTTTAAGACTTGGTTTGGACACATTTACGCTCGACTAAGTGTATTGATTTACGCGTCAGTAACGGGATTGACATAATGTTTGGGTAATATTCACTGACAACCATTAATACAATCAGATTAGTTCACATGGTGCTACGTTTAAGATAGAATGATGAAAGTATCGGAACGGTATTAGAGCACTTCAAAGGAAACAAGGACCGCTCATCTACATCACTTCGCCTACTCGGGTGTTAAATGAATAGATAACAGCATACTTTAGATGAAGATGAGGACCTTCATAAACGTAAAAAATCTATAAGTATTCAATACCGGTTCTCAGATCAATTCATATGTAAATATTCATGTATACATATTCATATGTAAATCTTCTGTATACGCTTGTACTGTATTGAGCAACAATAATTAAAACATGACATGCTTGACTTGACCTTTTTGTGGGTTTGCAGTCTAAAATATATATTATTATTATTATGATTGTGGTAGAAGTGAATATGTGGCGAAAATAACGATGCTGTATAAAGATTGCCATGTCACGCATCGCGTAAAATTTCATAAAGAAAAATATGATACAAATGTACACGGAGGAGGTTTTAATCATACTGATTGTTCATGGCTGTAGACTGGCCAAGCCGACGAAGAACGCAAATATAACTACGGCTTGGAAGCTAAACCCTCATGAATATAAAGAATGTTTGACAGGGGTGTGGGTGGGTGTGCGGGTTAGATAGGCGGTTGGGTTGAAGTGAGGGGGTTTAGGTTGAGGATATTGTGTTTCTTGCTTGATTGAAAATGTTTTACGGTACATATGCAAAACACGATAAAACAGCTACATTGTATCCCTCGTTGTTTGCCATCCCCTACAAGATAATTTACAAATCTGCATGCAAATATCGCCCTAATTCTTATTTAACTGGGCAAAATTTGATCATATAAATTTTTTTTTCTCTGAATATTGCTTTAACTCACCTATAAATTTACAAATGTGGACAGTCTGGTTTGACGGAGACATGATATGGAACTCTCGACCCATAAAGGTTGTGGATGGAAGCCGTTCCCACGTAGAATCTGTACTGAAATTGCATTGGTTCCAAACATCCCCTGACATCACAACAATACCAAAGCACAGACTGCTATTCAGTCGGACACCGTCTACAGTATATGTAGAGTTCAACAATACTGTATCATAATTGTTGATTTGCATAGAAGCGACCATCTCCGTAGAAGCATGTGAAGAGACGTTAGTATTCATATATACATTGACTGTCGTGTTGTCGTTCATGCCGACCACATATACTGCTTGTCCTCCATGTTGACTGGCGTCGTCCAGCAGAAGTAAATAATCTGTCGCCTGTTGATGTGATGAGGGGATATACATGGGGTCACCTTTGTCTGACAATATCTGCATATTTGGGCGAGCGTCTGATGTGAATTGGTGAACTGAAAAAAATAATGAAGAGTTTGTATATTAATCTGTCTACTGTTTACGCATGGGTTAATATCTTAATATGTCAATATCAATAGTACATCAGGACGAAACAAACAAAAGAACAGACAACATTTGTTTGTCATATACCGCTAGTTCCTAGTGTACTGTACAAACACATTGAAGGTTTATCTAAAATCGGGCTTTAATTTAATATATATAAAATAATTCTATGAGGCGATAGATAAATGATGCTAGGAAACGCCATTGACCGAGTAAGCCGGGGTTTAAAAACTCAATATCGAATAAACTTGCCGCCTGTCTATAACAGTGATTTAGGCTATGTACTTTAGTCTGGAACAGAACCCATTACAAGGCAAATGTTGTAAAAGTAAATCACAACGGACTGTGAGAATCAAATAAGACAGTAGCCCCGCGGACCAGAAAGAATTACACCAAAAAATATAGAAAGGAAACGACCAAAAACGGTAATATCTATCACAGGATATGCATCAGACATTTATCAGAGGTATGCCTGACATCGCTGTCAAATACCCGGCTCCTACTGTAACAAAAAAGGTAGTCAAGGAGTCTACCAATGAAGTTGGCATGGTTCTTGGAAAAGGAAGAGAAATGGTTAGGGTTAGGGTTAGGGTTGATGCAGGTAGATAAAGACTTAGGACAAGTTGATGGTTGCCATCAGGATCTTGCAAGGTAATATGATATTTTGTTATTGAGTGCCTTCTGGGTTTTATGGTCATAACTGGTGTTATCGATGAAAGGGCATTATTTGGATTCGACTATATGACGGATGTCGTCGATGCGGCAGAAGACGCTTATTCCTCCGGGAAATCCGATCTTATTCTCCTTGCACTCTTTAAGGGTGTCCATATACAATATTCCTTTATTATATTTCCCCCTAGTTTTACCGATTTTGAGTTAGAATTATAGTTTGGTTACAGTTTGGTATACTCGCGTTCTTTTTTCTGGCAAAGGGAGCCGAATGTTTAAGCAGCTGAAGTGCATAGACATTATGTTTGTATGATATTAAAGATCCAATACGTCCTCTTAGACACTTGAAGACATGGTACTAATGATTCAGTGACAGGTAGATTATCGAGACTGGTTTGATGTTTGGAAATCAGATACAGTTTGGAATGGAAGTAATAAAATAATATGTGCAAATAAGAAGACTTGAAGAACAAGTTTTTAGTTATTAAATCTACAAAACATTGATGTAGATTTTGAACCTATGCTGTTGTCGTTATAATAAAAAATGAAACAATATAATAACATTATAGCTTTCAATATAAACACATATGATAATACGTACAGATATATAAATACGGTCTGCAGAAAACTTGAAAACAAAAAAGCAGAAAACAAACAACAAAGTGTCAATATCCAAATACACCATCACCAGATGCTTTTCGTTTTTATTCTTTGGCTAGTACATCTGGGCCAAGGTTAAATATTATGATGCGTCATTAATTTACAATAAAGGCCAATTAAACCTATACCTTGGCGACAACAGGCATTATCATTCTCGAATTCAAAATCAATGAGAGAAACACTATAGGAACTGAGATTACATCAAAACAAGTTATAATGAAAAAATATAAGTAAAACTTCAAACCGAACTCAAAGCTTACGGGAACACCACGTGTTTTAAAAGGAAAAGCATTTCATAACAGCGGTCTTTATGTCACCCGTCAGATCCAAATAATGTTGTCGATCAACTGCGAATTTAAGACATCGTTGAAGTCAGGTCATGATAACACCTTACTTAGCAACAAGATCGTGATAAGAATGATAAAAACATGTATCATAGGCCACGTGTCATGATATTGACCAATACGGATATGCATATTCAGAAATTCGGCCCTATAATAAGTGAAAATGGTGAATTTCATGAACAGGATTGGTGTAGCATGTGAATTTTATGAACAGGATTGGTGTTAAGTTAAAAATCGTGAGGATGGTAATGTTGTCAGAGAGATATTATCGTAATAATGATAGAATACAACACGTGTACGGTCTGGGACGCGCATTTTATAGAAAGATAAGATTTCAATATCCACTTACTGTTCTTTCAACGAGAGTTAGATTAACAAAACTGTGTGAGCCACTTACTTAAGTATTTGGGATTTAAGGCATTAACCATGAATTATACAATGGAAAAGAATTACATTTAAAACTAACACCACCAGACGCATGCAAAACCATCTAATCAGAAGTGTATTTTTAGAAATCAAAACTTAATTTAGTTAATTAACTTTACGGGCATTCACCAATCGAATGTAGGCTGAAAATAGAAATAATTCTAAATTCAAAACCATAAAGATTACACATGGAAGAGCATGTTTTTAAATGCCAAACTCAAAGCTAGAAATGTAGGCTAAGCCTACGACCCTGAGAAGGCGTTCCTGATATCAATGACATATTAGCCTATCTTTTGTAATTTCTATATAACGGCCTAGAATAATCCGATTACCATCGCAAGTAAAGTCACAGATGTTACGATGTCTAATACCACGCCAGGGGCACTGCTCTAGGCTCGGTTAGTTAGGCATGGACTAGGACTATCTCAATACCGTAATCATCTCTGAATTACATTCGGATCCGCTTATCATCGAGTGATATAAAGTTTTCAGAAGTTGTATAATATCTATGAGAAGGTCATTCACAGATTGTTATATTTATAATCAGATCATTCAAAAGTGTGAAAAGGTAACAGAACGTTTGTTTGGAAGGTCATCATCTATATCAAAAGAGTTTAAAACTGTTAAATAAAATAAAAAAATGCTCAGGCTTTGGTTAAAATGCGAGTGTAAAATCGTATAACTGTTTTATCTTCTTAAAGCGTATATGTTCTAATTAGTCTGTCAAACACCTTTCTAGACAGACATTTCCTTCAAAGTCTGAGATTTTTTTGATTTTTTTTACACTGCGCCATTGCGTCTTTAATACCGTGTTCTAAAATGGTCTGTTTAATTGTTTTGCCTCCCCCCCCCCCCTTTTTTTTAAAAAAAGATCAAGATTAATGTGATAATGTGATCTATATTTATTTCACAAATTGTGTAAATTGTGATTATGCCTTTCTTTATCATTTCTTTCTGACATACCCTCTTTCAATGAAATTGTTTGCTATTTTAACAAATTCGTTGAATTTAACTGAATAAAGTTTAAGTTTAAAATCGATTGCGATGATGATGATGGTGACGACGACGACGACGACGACGACGACGACGACGATGATGATGATGATGATGATGATGATGATGATGATGATGATGATGATGATGATGATGATGATGATGATGATGATGATGATGATGATGATGATTTGTCGATTTTGTGGATAATATTGAAAACGATGATGATGGACGTTCCATAAATTTGAGAACTTGGGCAAATAAAGAAACGAAACCAAATGTTATGGCAGAAACCACTAAATGCAACCAATCTTTTCATGGGGAAACAAGTTAATATGTCCCCTTATTTTAATTGTGCTGATACGTCTCATAGGGTCTGAAATTAACAAATAAAAGCCTTATTTAGGAGCAGCTGGTATACACGAAATTCAGTACAGAGATGTGTAGCGTTGCAAACGAATATTACTGAAAGATTATGCAATACGTTATAAAAATAATTTATAACATTCCATATTTAACAATCTATTCTTGAATGCACTATAGAAACGTACAAACTAATTTGTCTTTCCTTACCATCAGTTTATATCTTATCGGTTGACTTATATATGTCACAACAGTTTCGAAAATTGGTAGTTATCTAGGTAAAATAACGTAAAATATTTTATATAATATTTATTTCAATATTAAAAAAACCCTATGGTCATTGTCATTTATTCATACTAATACTAAGTTATACATAGAATGATTAATACTCTAACTGTTGCCAAACTCGTTTTGAATTTAAGATCTTCAAATTTAGATATCCTAATAAAAATACAACAATAAGAACTGAAAAAGCCCAAGACAAAGTTCAGACGTAATAAATGCCACAGAAATATCGTAGTCGTATTGCTTCTTAAGGTAAAACAGCATGGCAGTGTAGTATGTTAAACGTCATGTCGACAGTAGATAATGTTGATCATTTACTCGTACGAGGATACGTTTTACCCGAGCATGTGAAAAGAGCAGACAGACGATGAGAGTCATTTGTTGTGATTTAAAAATAAATACAAAGTTAGTTGATTTGAACTGTTTAGGAGGCACGGTAGTCTTGTGGTAGGACTCCGGGCTCTTGACCGAGGGATTGCGTGTTCGAGTCACGACACGGCACTGTGTTGTATCTTTGAGCAAGATACTTTACTCCGCTTGTTCCAGTTTACTCAGCTGTAAATGAGTACGTGGTTGGGCAGTGCTAGAATTATAGAACGCTAGCTGTGAGCGCCGAAATGGAAGCACCAGCTGTATGCTCCCCAGGGTGTTAAGCAAGATATTGGCTGGTTGTAAAGGGCCTATAACCACGGATTATAATTTATGAACCGCTTTGAGACGACATATGCACAAGGTTGTGATAAAGCAGTATATAAGAACCTCAACTATTGTTTTTATTATTATTTTGTATTTGTCTCACCAGCTGTCTCAAATAGAGACAGTCTGTTCCGGATTCCTGTCTCGTTATGAAACATCAGTGGGTTTCTTTATAAGGAAGCTCGACTGCGTTCCGCCAGTAACTATGGTGACAGGACATCGGCGGATAAACAGTGACTTGCCAGACATTCCCACAAAACCCTAATTGCAAACTATCCAATGTTGGCGGCAAATGGCACCTGCGCTTTTTAATGACTGTCTGACGCAGCATCCTTCCATGAGGCAATAGTTACCGGTTAACAGATGACAAAATTGTCCGGTTAGAATCTCATGGACCAAGAGACAGACTGAACTAATCTAATCCAATGCAATACCGTCTTAGGTTTCGAATCAGCAGACGCAGATTTCATTGATTTTTTTCTTCTTTATGAAATATGTTATCAGAAGTGTTGATGAGTAGCCTGACACAGGAAATTACTGACCTTGACATAGTGCAACCTTTGACCTGGCTTATATCAACTCTACCTACAAAATCTAAACACGTAACGAGATTGTCCTACAGACTGGAAAGAGTTCTTCACATATAATAGTTGGGTTCGATGAGTATAGCAATCCATTAGGTCTAGAGGCTTTCCTTGATGACTAGATGTGGAATTGCATTCCAAAATCTATAGCTTTGGAGAACACAATGCCTAGAGGGCAGGCTAACCCCCTAAGATTTTGCTTTGCTTTCGTCTGTTTAAGGTAAAGCCGATATTATTGTTTCGGAGTAAAATAATACCAGATGAAAGTATTTTTTACATAAAACATTTTATATAATAATGCAAAAAATGAATCAAGGAACATATATTCCAGTCTCCAGAGACATAATAAAGTGACAAAATTAAAAAAAAACAACGCAGTTTTGTTATTGACAATGACGATGTCATTCTCACAAACATATTCATTCCAGACAAGTCTACATATGAACGTACGGCATAAACATACGATATGAACATGAGAAAAAGACAATAAAACCGAAAATGAAAATCTGCTCAAAAGTCTACACTACAACATGTACCATATAAAATAGACAAGGATTGTCAAGCTTTGATGATGTAGCTACACCATTGGACTAGAGTGTCTGACCGCTTAAAGATATTACGAGCTAAGTACATATACTTAACACCAACTTCTCCACGTTCTTTTGACATGGTTTGGTGCCAGCTTGAATTGCTTACCGTGTGATATTATGGATGATTTGTACATCTTTGAAGAGTCCAGGGTTAGGTTTGTGTCATCGGTGTACGTTTCGTTGTATCTGGTCGCCATAGTAATATATAATGCTTTTCCATCCGCGACATTAGGGTACGCTTGAAGTGTCATCTTACAACCGGAACTAGCCGAACCGTATGCAAGAGGTGCGTAGTAATATTCCTTAACGTCGTCGGAATTAACTGCGAACATGTAAGAAAACGTTTATTATTATTTTATTAATTTCGACAATGACCTTACGCCAAATATAGCTATAAGGTCATGATTTGTTGTTTTTATAACATGACAGTAGTTCATAAACGTAGGATCTTTGAGGCAATCATTGCACTGATCATTTCATTATTTCATTTCATTAAAACTCAACTATGTCATCATTCATTTTGGATTGCAGGAAGTTAGTAAGATTAACAAAGCAATAAAACGGAACTATTTCCAAGATATGAAAATCTGAAAGGATGCATCAAGCTTTACAGAGATTTTGATTTACACACATGACGTCATAATTATCCACAGAACTCAAGAACAATCAATAGCAACTATAATAGGACTTGAATACTCTACTCTTCGTGTAACATGCATTTCCGAAGTAATGTACGAGGTACATTTAAAATTTAATATGCAGATTGCACATTCTTGTGAATACTGTTAATATAATGATAAAACAATTATTCAAATAATTTGTACGTATGCTGAGTGAAAACATCCATATTTAAATAGTACCTACCTCTAGTCAGAGAAACCATCCACATGGTTGCCATGAAGCTGAGTGCCGCTGGAAAAGAAAACATAACATCAGACACAATTGCAATTATTCCTGACATATATTATTATCAGATGACCGTGTCATGAGCGTATAATTTAGTTGTTAATACAGTTTACAAGAATAAGCTTGCAATGTTATCGGTCATGCAAATAGCATGAAAAATATAATGACAAAAGGCGGATAAACAAAGACAAATAAAACTAAAAAAAAAGCCAACAACAATAGTTGATGGCCTTATTAAATGAAAGAATGATTTTGGTGTAATGAGCCATAAACCACATCATGAACAGAATATTCTTGAAAAATTCTCCTGAAATAGCCTCAATGTTAACAAAACATACATTTTTGCGATAACCTGGTCAATCCGTATCATTAAATTATCAACCAGGTCCAAACATATCATCACTAGATTAGCCAGGTCCAAACATATCATCCATTCACTAGCCAGGTCCAAACATATTATCAATTTACTAGCCAGGTCCAAATATATCATCAATTAATTAGCCAGGTCCAAACATCATCAAATATTTAGCCGGGTCTAAATATATCATCCATTCACAAGTCAGGTCCAAACATATCATCCGTTCACTATCCAGTTCCAATCATATTATCAATTTACTAGCCAGGTCCAAACATATCACCAATTAATTAGCCAGGTCCAACCATCATCAATAAATTAGCCAGGTCCAAACATATCATCCATTCACTAGCCAGGTCCAAACATATCCATTTACTAGCCAGGTCCAAACATCATCAATTAATGAACCAGGTCCAAACATATCAGCAGTTAACTATCCAGGTCCAAACATGTCATCAATTAATCAATCAAGCCAAAGCGTTCCGTTAATAAATCAACCAGACCTAAATGTATCATCGTTTATCAGCAATTCGGAACATTCTTAGCATTATAGACTAATACACAAGTTTGATCTCAAATACCAAATACAACGTTCTAACAAAAATGGAAGTCAGTGTGACAGCAAGTTTAAGTCCTCGCCTTAGTGATAAAGTAATCATGATAGCCTATCATAAACAACACAGCAGTGTCTCACCGATATCTTTCGTATTTATTACAAAGCAAACCACAGAGGTGCCTCACCGATATTGTTTTCCCGGTCGATATCCTTCTAAATCATATTTTGTACACTTGCTGTTTTTATAGCCCTTGACCTTCATACTCCAAGAGACAGGATGACGGGTGCTAAATGTGATGTAGTAAAGGATGAACGTAACATCGGCACGAGTGATTGTACCTATAATGTACCTGGATTATATACAATATGGTCATTGATACACTATACCAAAACCAATGACACTGTGTCATACACCCAATCAGCCTTCTAGGACTCGTTGGTAATGCTAGGGGCAAAATAGTTTGGAAATTAAATTGGTCTACACTTTGATTGATCCCTAAATTTATGAAATTCAATATTTGGAAGAGCACTGGTTAATAAGTAAAAGTGTGTAAACGAACATTACATTACTCAAAGGAGATTACAGTGGCAAGCAAAAAGGCATCATGGTGTGTGTCAAATGTGGTGTATTAAATACGAAATTTCTCTTTTTTGTGGCACTTATTTCATCTATTTTGGTGGAGTAATCACTAATTTCACATATATAGGTATTGTCGATATTGTGATATTTTCAACACGTCAGGGAAAACTTCGTGCCACAGAAATGACGGCAATATCGTATAAACATATACAGTTTATTTAATGTGAGGCATTAACTATTAACGACATAGGTAAAGTGATATATACCGTAGAGCAACAGAGCGACAACAAGTTTCTTGGGGGATTAATATTATCAAATATTTATTAATATAAAATTGATAACTTACATGGATCCAAATAATCTGCCTGATTTTGCTTCATCAAAATTTAAGCCAGTGTTTATGCCACATTGGACTTTGTGCGGAAAAAAGTGATAACGTCGACTAGTTTGCTGATTGGGTCCATCGGGTTTTGCTTCCCTTACGTGAAGGGTTATTAATTGTCTTTCGCATGCATGCTTGTAATTTCTATTGACATTTTTTCATTTTTTTCTAATTTAATTTCGGCATTACTAAGACAGGGGGTTTAATTAAGAGCACGACATTTCCTGTAAATTAATCTGAGATCATGACCGCGGTGCAAGGAATAGTTCTCTAAATCACGAGAACACACGATCAAGCAATGTGTTGATGGAGGTTGATGGCTGAACATCGAGTTCCTGGTGTACACAAGCTAAAGGTATCTTTAGATCACTTTTATATGTAAATACATTTATACATTGTATTTTGTAGTGCAGAGGTGTTTTTCAAATGAAACAATAGTTGTAAAGAGAATGAGAATTACCCACAATGTACCCTTTAAATGTTATTTAAACATTCATAATTAAGATCGGTAAGAAATAATAAAGCAACGACTTAAAATCATTTTTGTTTACATGAAACAACGCAATTAAGCTACCAGCACTGTGCATTTATCCATTCATTAAAAAAAGTGGGAGAGTTTGAACTCAAATAAAAAAGTGTATGTTTACCACCTTTTATGTTTGTATTTAAACTAAACAAATTCAACATGACAATTAACGCAAGACTACAGTGAAACTAACCTTACTATTGGCAAATATGTCATGATCAATATGTACAAGATAGGGTTGATGATGAGAATAAACAGCCCTCAGTAACAGAATGACAATGGATCTGATTGTCGGGTAGAGTAATCTATTTATAATACGTCGCGTATAATAAGGTTTTAATCCACTCATTATGGTTATAGGTAAATACACAGGTGAGTCGTGATTACGGTTCTTCGAGTGATAGATTATCGATGTTTATATACAGGACAAGGTACTAAGTACGTAAAATGTCAATAATGAATGCTATATCACTAACGTGTCTAGGTACATATAGAGTACAGTACAGGTCAGCGTCAACCTCGGTTGGATACAAAAACGGTGATATCTCCTGGCAATTTACTAGTACGGCCAACATTGAGAGTTTATACCTTCCAACCATTCATTAACAAATACATTCGACGTGTATAAGAATTGTAAATCTGCTCTCATTGCATGATCGTATGAGGCGACTAAATTTGGGATCTTATCTGTTCTTTTCTTTCTAAACAACACTCTTTTTCCTAATGTCTTCCCTGACAATGCCTCTCTGTTGGCCTTTAGTTGAGCGTTCGCCCTGTGAGGAAGGCTTTGGGTTCTGTCCCCCGACCGAGACATACCAGAGTCTGTAAAAATGGTAGTTTCTACTCCTGCTTAACGCTCAGCAATTTAGGAGTGGGACGACTGGTTCGCCCGTTGTCAGTAAATTGTGACCGGATGGGGGGTCCTGCTGGGTGTCTTCGGCAGTATGTTTCAGTGAAGTAGCACTATGAAGTCGGCATCAGTTCAAGGAGACAAACACGAACATATCGTAGCCTCACAAAACAAACACGCATACACTACACGCATGCATCTTGCACACAGGGGAGGCCGTCCTTAAATGACCATAGCTGTTGATAGGGTGTTAAACAATACTTAACCAAACCAAACCAAACTAAATAACAAACGCCATGTATTAAGTTCAATCGCGATTTTTCGCAACAAGAAAGCGCAAAAGCATAAACGTGTCGTCTGCTTGAATTTGAAGAAATAGGTTTGCCGTTTCCCCTGCTTGTGAACAGATTCCGTTATGTACACCAATAGTATGACAGCTGAAGCAAGGGTGCCGAGACTATCTTATTATTAACATTTCAAATACAACGTGCTCTTAACAGAAAAAGTTGTGGGAGCTTCGACTAATTGATTGATAGTAAACATCTAGCACATGATAATTGCTCGTGAAAACAAATCAGTACTTCAATGAGAATGAAACAATCTTATTGTTATTTTTGTTGCAAAAGATAAAAATTCTGAATATTTTTGGGAATGTAGGCGATAATAAGCCTTAGTTTGGTGGTGGATTAGAAGTCGACAGTTAACCCCCCTGTGATCCAAAGTGTATGCCTGTCTGCCAATGTTTATAGGTCTGACGCCTTGGAACTCGGCTATAAGCCTGTTACATTTCCAGTCTGGTAGACCACCTTATTTATGACAGCAATAATTCAATGTCCGGCTCGTATGTACTAGGACATGGAAAATAAGACAGCCGGAATTACCCTCTGCTCAGAAAAATCTATACGGTATGGATTACTTCTTGTGGTCCTTGACATGTCTATTAGTTATTCCGAGACTGATCTGGCCAATGTTCCACATTTATGGAGATATAGGTATGCTTGTCTTGATTCCAAAAGATGCTATGCATACTTGTGCTGTTATATATATTTACTTCATTAAAACCGAAATGGACATTAAAATGATCCGTCATCAATAGCATAAAAAGAGATAACTACATATGAAATATATTGTTTTTGAAAACAGCACACAATTCTAATATAAATATATATATATAAATAATACAACATCATGAAAATGACAAAACCTTTTTAAACAAAAAGTTTAGCACCAACAAAACATTAGGCAATCATATATTTGGTATGGAAAACCCTGCGTATTCAATATTCCAAATGTTATGAAAAATGGATTGACATGTACATGTAACATCATTCGCCGAGAATATTTCTTCAAAGTTACAAATACACAATAACTGGTACTAGTCATCGAAACATTACATTGAAAATCTTATTGGTTGTGTAAAAAGAACTTTTCATAATCCATACTTACCAACCTGAAGAAACTGTTTAGAAACAATAACTGATGGTTGCTGTCATTACCAAGGGCAAGTTTGGGACATCGTGATCCAAATACCAAATACATGACTAAATAACATAAACATGCGACAGCTACAATACACAAGGGCATCACGTGAAATCAAATCTCATACAAAAAGACAAAAGCAGAGGATCATGAAAGCCACTAAACTCTGGAAGACAATCATAGGGCTCCATGAGGGTAGATATTTCTTGCTGAATGTATAAAACCAGTCATGCTGTCTGCTGCTGAATTTAGGAAAACTTGTAGAACCGGATCTGGGA